GAAAGCCTCTCGAAAATATGCATTTTTGCTGGCTGTAGCAGCATTGCTATAGCGCTGCATAGCAAAAACGCATAAAAACTAAATTTTAAAAAAATTTACACTTCCACATTTTTTATCCGCCAAGCAAAACATGGCCTTCAAAAATCGGTGACCTGAGCATTTCAGAGGTGAGCCCAAACTCATATCGCTCCCACCAAATTCTGTTTTCACAAATGAACTTATGATAAGATCTAAATATTAAAATTCACACAGTTAGATAAGCAAATCTACATTTCCGACCTCTTCACTTACTTTAGTTTCAACTTTATCTTTCTCTTCCTCAACTTTCCATCTTTTGTATACATTTTTATGCGTTTTGTGCTATATAACCGCAGTACAAAACGCATATTGTCGCGGGATTGTCTGTGTGTGTGTGTGTCCGCAGCAATTTGTCCGCAACTTTCAACTCGAGAATCGCAAAAACTAGGAAGCTGAAAATGTGGGAGAACGTTCCCCACCTGCGCGCAACTTGCAAGTTTAAATCCAGTCTCCCCGTACCCGCAGATAACACGTACAGCTCTGTAAAAGTTTGGGCGGGTAAAATTACCACGGGAACTAAAAGGCTGAAATTTTGTGGGCATGCCCTCCATCCATGTTTTACCCAGAAAATTTAGATTCAGCTTTCCCCTGCCCGCAGGTAACATGTACGACCTCGTGAAAATTTTTGACGGGTAAATTATTATCTCCACGGAATCTAGGAAGCTGAAATTTTACACTTATGACCCCCTGCTCACGAACGATCTTGCAAATTCAAAGTCAGGGTTCCCGCGCTCTCGGCTATCATCTACGGCCTCGTGAAAATTTTAGCGGATAAATTATTATCTCGGGAATCACTGAAGAATATTCATCCTTCAACGTTTCAAATTCAGCTTTTTTGCACCGGCGCGTGAAATTTTTAACTATTTTTCAACGTTCAACTATTTTTGCGCAGACTAAGTAAAAAGCAGTAAAAATCATTAACATGCGATCGTTCGATGAGCGGAACTGCACAAAATACATGACCGCACTGGCTAGTCTGGTGCGCGTTGCTCTTTATTACTTTTAAGTGCTGTTTTCAGAACTGAAAACATTTTATTTACAACCTACCTCTCATTCGGACCATACTCAATTACTGCCGACGAATGAACAGTGGGTAAACCAACTGAAGAAACAAATGGACTGTCTGCTGTTCGATCCCCGCGCACAAGCAATAAAGCTGATGGGAGTGTAACCAGTACCAACAGTGGTCCAGTGCTGAAGATGGACAAGGAGATAACACTGATTGATAGATGAGCTGTTGGGAGAAAGCGTGAA